ATTGTAAGTATGCTTACTGTGACTGAAAGTTTGCTAAATGATTTTTGTTCATTAACCTTTGTGATTAAGAAAAAGATTGTGGCTCTTTGCTGTTAAATTCCTGGTATTTTGATACACTGAAATTTCAGATGTCTCAGTCAGAAATGCAAACATTAGGTATCTTTGGCGACTGTTATTCTCTAGAATGTCAACATATAGCATGTTTTTAATGATGTGCAACTTTACAGTCAGAATTCATTAATCCTAGCTCGGCTCTTACAAACACCCTTTCAGACAGTATATGGAGGGGTGTTCAGGTATCAGTGCTTTCCTTAAGCTGGTCATTTGATTTCATGGGTGTAGCTTTCACTTCATTCTGTTTCCTAGAAGAAATTTTTGATTGTTTTGTTTAAATTCACTGTTTCAAAGAAATACGTATTTCCAGTTGGTTGCAACTCTCATTGTGGGACTAACATAATTCTACTGCTAGTAGTAAGAAGAAAGCACAGGTGAAGTTTCCAGCTGAACACTTTTGTATAACCCCACTGACTTCAACAGCCATGTAAGAGAGAGTTAAATGTTCCCTTACACAGCAATCCTAAGCATCAGTTACACATTTCTAAGTCCACTGAAATTAATTGGCTCAGAAGGGTGTAACTGCTTAGGATTGCACTTGTGAGGAACATAAATATGTTTCATGAGAATAGTGTATTTTTGTTTGGGGAAAAAATACATTTTTTTCAGTAGGTATGTTTCAACTATAGCTGTAAATGTGTACATGTATATTCAAAAGTTCCAAGGAGCATGTATGCTCTACACAGCACCAACAAGTATCTAGTCAAGTTTGTTATACATGCATCTCTCGTAAGTTATACCTTAGTCCCTCTTCTGGTTTTCTTGTGGTATGTTTGAATCACTGTAGGCTGTATTCTGTAACAAGGGCTTCTCTTCTGTGTATTGAAAGGATGGGTGGAGTGTAGTTTAGAAAAAAGAGGGAGCTGTTCAGACATAAATGTGGAAAGCAGGAAACATGTGTTCTAGTCAAAATGTGTTCTAGTCGAGAGAAAGAGATTGAGTTTCTAGACACTCTAAATGACTGTGCTATGGAGCAGATGGTCACAGAACCTACCAGGGGAGAAGCGATCCTTGATTTGGTCCTAAGTAACACTCAAGACCTGGTGAGAGATGTAAAAGTGATTGCACCGCTTGGGAACAGTGATCATAATGTTGTTGAGTTCAACATTTGTACAAATAGGGAATTGGCCAAAAAGACTCACACAACCACTTTTAACTTTAAAAGGGGTAATTTTTCTGATATGAGGGGATATGTGGGGAGGAAACTGAAGGGAAAAGTAGAAAGGGTCAAAACCATTGGGGAAGCTTGGAAACTATTTAAAACTACGATTCTAGAAGCTCAAAAAATATATATTCCGCAGGTTAGGAAAGGCACAAACAGGTATAAGAAAAAGCCTACATGGTTAACAAACAAAGTAATGGAAGCTGTAAAAGGTAAAAAGGATTCCTTTAAGCGGTGGAAAGCTAGTCACAGTGAGGCTGATAAAACGGAACACAGGCTATGGCAAAGAAAATGCAAGTCTGTGGTCAGGCAGGCAAAAAGGGAATATGAGGAGCATATAGCAAAAAATGTAAAGACCAACAATAAAACTTTCTTCAAATACATTAGAAGCAGGAAACCAGCCAGGGAGGCAGTGGGGCCCTTGGATGACCAAGGGGTAAAAGGAGTACTGAAGGATGATAGGGAAATGGCTGAGAAGCTAAATGCATTTTTTGCCTCCGTCTTCACTGTGGAAGATGAGAGGTGCTTGCCCACTCCAGAGCCGCTGAGTTCGGGAGGGGTGTTGAAAGAC